ATTAGGAAGTTAATTTGGGATTTGGGCAGTTAATTTGGGAATTACACTGTATGGGAATTGGTCAGTTTCCTTGGGAATTGGGCAGTTAACTTGGGAATTAGGAAGTTAATTTGGGAATTGGGCAGTTAATTTGGGAATTAGGAAGTTAATTTGGGAATTGGGCAGTTAATTTGGGAATTGGGCAGTTTCCTTGGGAATTAGACAGGGAATTAGGCATTTAATTTGGGAATTAGGCACTAATCCCTGTCCTTCCCCGTTCCCAGGGATCTCTGGGAAGCTCTCCAGGCACTAATCCCCATTCCCAGGGATCTCTGGGAAGCTCTCCAGGCACCAATCCCCGTTCCCAGGGATCTCTGAGAAGCTCTCCAAGCGCTAATCCCTGTCCTTCCCCATTCCCAGGGATCTCTGGGAAGCTCTCCAAGTGCTAATCCCTGTCCTTCCCCATTCCCAGGGATCCCTGGGAAGCTCTCCAAACACCAATCCCTGTTCCCTGGGGTCTCTGGGAAGGTCTCCCAGCACTAATCCCTGTCCTTCCCCATTCCCAGGGATCCCTGGGAAGCTCTGCAAACACCAATCCCTGTTCCCAGGGATCTCTGGGAAGCTCTCCAAGCACTAATCCCTGTCCTTCCCCATTCCCAGGGATCTCTGGGAAGCTCTCCAGGCACTAATCCCTGTCCTTCCCCATTCCCAGGGATCTCTGGGAAGCTCTCCAAGCGGGGGCTGTGCCTGACCCTCAGCACCTCCTACGAGGGATCCCACCTGGATTCCTTCCACCTGGAGCTGCTGCTCCGGCCGGAAGTTCGGATCCAGCGTCATTCCATCCCCGCCTTCATCCCTCTGGAGCAGCTTTCCCGGCGCTTCCTGGCCACGGATCTCCGGCGCTTCCTGGCCCTGCTCTCCCAGCACCTGGAGGGATATTCCGGCAGGAGATTCCAGGCTGACCAATTCCAGGTGCTCCCGGGAGCTGGGAGGGCTCGGGAATGCCCACAGGGATTTGGGTTTCCCAAAGGGGGGAGTTCGGTTTTCCGGGAAAAGCGGGAGAGCTGAGGGGAGTTCAGCTGGAGAAGGGAAGGATCCCGGGAGAGCTTGGAGAACATTCCAGAGGCTAAAGGGGCTCCAGGAGAGCTGGAGAGGGACAGGACACAGGGAATGGCTTCCCAATGGGAAAGGGGAGATTTGGGTGGGATACTGGGAAGGGATTCCTGGCT